TTTGGGCAGAATGTGTCATTCATTTCGGTCCCATACACTTACATGGTGTGAGACTATGGGCCAGGCTCTGTGCTAGGAGCTATGGCTGTAAGATGGCCATGACAGTCTTTGCCTTGAGGAGAGTGCGTCAGTCAGGCTTCACTCCAGGAAACAATAGCCCTTATATTCGGTAGGTGTTTCATTCCAAATAACTTAACTTACTGACTTACTCTGTCACATTCTTTCGACCACCACCACCCATTCTTCAGTTGTACTCTCATCTTCACTAACTTTAATGTAGCCAGATAATCAATCCAAATTTCCCTTTCTTGAGGATATGTTGTTGTTTGCAACCAGTTCGTTTATAAAAATTGTCAGGGCACAGCACAGGAAACAGAAACAGCTCTAGGTAGTCTATGCAAAAAAGAAATTAAATATAGGGGAACAGGTACTTATAAAGTAATTGTAAAGATGGTGGAATGGGCTCAAGGCTGTGAAACAATTACTGATGAAGTACACAGCTGATCTTCCAGGGGGGCTGTTCTTTCTGCCAAGATCAGAAAGGTGGGGGCTGGGGAGACTGGCTCTGGAACACCTGGGTTGAGACACACTCAGCTGTAGTTAGGATCCAGAGATCAGGAAGCCACTGCAATCTTGCTGCAACTGCACCTCAGTTTCATAGAACTGGTACCTGGACACAGAAATGTAAAGTCTGGCTTTTGCCTCCACCAAAACTATATTGCAACACCTTCAAAGATAAAGACTGGGACACTGAAACATTGCTGCATAATAACTTCTTGCTTGCCAGGAGAAAATAGTGAAAGAAACAAAGATGGTTTCTGTTTCATCTGCCTTCAAATTGCATGTAAGTGCAACTTAAAGTGTGGCAGAATCTAATCTGAATCCATAAACATACCTAAATCTGCAGGGCAGGAAGATACACGAGAAGGGGTGGGAAAGGATCATTCTCACCACAAGGGTTGATTTTATACTTTCACCTGTAACATAACCAAAAATACCATGGAAAGTGGTAAAATAGAGATTGGCACAATGTGTCATAAAAAGGCAAAGGAAAAACCCATAATTTGGCAAGATTTCTTAGAAGACTAAATCTTAACTGAATCATAAAGGCAGAGTAAAAATACAGTGAGTTAGGCTAAGTATGTAAAGGGCATCCCAAAAAGAGGAAGCTGGAAAGGCGTAGGGCAGTATGACACTTGTAATCTACCACCAAAAACTCGGTGATAGGTGATAGAGGGGAGGGAAGAGAGGATACCCACGTTAGGGAAGTCTCCTGTATCCTGCTAAGGAGCTTGAGCTGTGTTCTGCTTATAATGGAGAGCCAACAAAGGTCTTTACATCTAGTGTAACAAAATCAAATTTGTTTTATATAGAGCATTCTGGCAGTAATGTGGAAAAGAGATTAAATAGCTGGTGGGTGGGAGGAGACCAGAGGCAGGAAGAACAGTTACTACATTCCAGCAGTTTTCCAGATGAGAGACAATGAGGTTTAAACTAGGGCATTTTGTATGTCGCTAATACTTAACACATTTGATTTCTATTATGTACGTATTTTTTTTCTCTCCGGGAGATTGTAAAATTCTCATTGAATGATTCAGGCCTTATTAAACTTTTTGTCCTCAGGATTTAGCAGAGTGATTGGGACATGATAATCTAACCAATTAATCAGATTGACTTGAATTTAAGATTACTCAAAGAAAATATTCACAAAAGCCATATTAAATATGGAGTTAAGAGAGCAACATTTTTGAATGCAGCAAAAGGATTCTTCCTTTCTTCAACAAAATCCTAAGTAGAAGATAGAAAAGGAAATTAGTAAATTGCACAGAATTTTTGCAATTTGCTTTAAAATAGGATGTTAAAGTAATTGTTGTAAATTAGCATAATTTAATAG